CACACCCTACCACGCAAATATCTAGGTTGACAGTGAAAGGGCATAAGCTTCCTATGAGTAGATGAAATCTGCATTACATGGACCTTTACTTCACCTTGGCCTGGCCATGTCAATACAACAGGGAATTGGTAAGATCATGGCTTACCAATAGGAATACTATGAATGAGTGAAGACCGTATGGAACAAAGATGTATTTGGCACTAGTGCATGTACTCACATCCAAGAGCAATGCCCAAATCCATGTAATGTAGATTGATAAATAAGAAATAAACAGGAAGAGAGAGAGAGAGAGAGAGATTGAAATAATAGCCCCCACATTAATTGCAAGGCCATATGCAATTTCAGAGCTGTTTTGGTCTCCATTGAAAGAGATGTATCCCAAAACAATAAAATTGATGCTTGAACATCTGAAGTCTGTTTCCAGATAATAAAATGAAATCATCACAATTCAAAACAAGGGTACCAAACAGAACACCTTTGTTTCAAGGTAGGCCAAAGCTTGCTCTTGCTTATGTATACCTTCCTTTGCACAATCCTGAAATTAAAGAAACAAACTCAAAAGATGAGACTAATGCAGAAAAGGACGTGTTTGCAGGCCCAAAATGTACAAATAACAACTGAAAAAGGTAAACTAATAAAATAAAATAAAAAATTGTTCACAACAATGGGAGTGCACCGGGCGAAGGCAATAGTTTTTGAAGAGACAAGAAGACACAATGTTACAAATTTACAATTTATGAGATGGAATATCTAAGTTGGGAACGACGAGATGAATAAAACTCAGTGCTTTGGGCTGACATATGTGCTTTCTAAGCGTTTTGAGGTCTTTTAGTTTTAATATTATAGAAAATTCCGGTATTTTTGTAATTTTTTATTTATTCATTTTTATTTGGAGCTAGGGTTTGGAAAGAGTATTTAAACAACTGTTGGTGGTTGTAATCAGACTGATCGTATTATTATCAATAAACCTCAGACTTTTCTCTTATCTTTGTTCTAGGATTGAATGCTGATTTTTTTCCTATTATCCTGATGCTCGTCATGTTTTGAGCTCTATTATCACCACAACTCAATCTAAATGGGCCAACCCAAATCAATAAAAAAACTGGGTTAGGTTGGGTAAATAATTCATCATTTACTGTGCCAATTCCATTTCTAGACAAAGAAGCTAATCATTTGCTTACATTACTTGACCATGACCATATTAATACCTCAATAGATGGCATTAGCAGGGCAGCATATCGAGGATCTCTTCCAACCATCTGTACTACTTCTTGATCACTCTCCATTCCCATAGCCTTCATGACCACCATAATAGGAATCTATAGAAATGGTTTTTGAAAAGGAAAGTAAATTACAGTAAGATATGACAGTCACAAGATACCATGAAACAAAATCTTAAATTTCTTGAAATGAAATGTGGCATTACAACCTTTTTGACAAATTGGTTAAGCATCAAATAGATCTTCTGATTTTCCATCTGAATAATAGTTTTGCTTTTTATTCTCTCTGAGCTGCTCGTAACAGATGCATTTAAACTAAAACAAAATGAAAGGTTTATGAAAAAATATAATTAGTAAAAATAATCAAAATAGAAGGGACAAAACGGTGAAATAAAGGTTCACCATCATCTTGATACATACCTCACCAAAAACGAAACCAGACTAGAATTCTATTTTATTTATAAAAAGAAGAAACCAAACTACTTCTATCTACCCCACGACAGCACCCAAATCTAATAAAACAACAGAAAATAAAATACCCTAAAGCCTGGACTGTAGACAGCGAACACCTGTAGTAAAGAAAAACAAAGAAAGAAGAACTCACTTCCCCTTCTTGTCCATATCAATGATAATCCTGTTTTTTGAAAGTTGTTCCTGCATTAAAAGCACCTGGAAGGGATTGCAGTGTCATCATATGCTGAAACAAAAAACTATGAAGAAAGAAGGAAATAAAAATAAAAAATAAAAAAATTGGCCATGTTTAGCCAGACTGCATAGAGGGGCTCAGCTCATTGTCAAATGGTTTCATTACAAGTTGTTAGTCCAGATAGAAGAAGCTTGGAACTCAGAGTCTTCGGGGTTGTTTACAGTACTTATTTTGTAGGTTCATAGATAAGTTCTCTCTCCCCCTTTTCTTGTGACAAGATTTGGAAGACTAAAAGTACCATCCAAGGTACAAGTATTAGTTTGGATAAATGCTCAAGGAGGAAAAAATACTTCTGACATTAATCAAAGGAGAAGGACTAATGTTAGTTTATCTCCCTATTGGTGTATTATGGTGTATGTGACAACAGGAGGCTGAAAGTATAGAACATCCTTTTCTCTCCCACTCTATTGTATTCAAGCATTAACAAATTGTTTAGAGAAGCTAAGGGCCTGTTTGGGAGTGCTTATGTGGGAAGCACTTCTGCCATAAGAGCTTTTTCTGGGAGTGACTTTACTAGAAGCACCTAGCAGATGATTCTGGAATCACACATTTATGTACTTTATGCTTTTTGAGGGCACAAACAAAATTCTTGTGCAAAAGTAAGGTGATTGTTAAATTTGAGTTGTGTGGATGGAACAAAATAAAAGGATTTTGTGGAATTAAATTCAGTAGGCATCCTTTGAATTTTGGGATACACCTTTTTATTCATCTGGATTGGCAGGCAGCTGTTTCCATGAGATACCATTTAGTTTATACGTTTTGCAATGTTAACTTGAGATCCAACCAAACATTGTGTGAAGTTTCTATCTAGCAGATAGATTGTTCAGAAATCTTTTATGTATCATCAGTGAACAGTTTGTTCACTGTGTTTGTATTATATTAATAAATTATTTTGTATCTTCATCAACAACATAAATTGCATAAAGAGGACAAAACCAAAACATGAAAGCTAAAGAATCTGACAGCAGCGCACTGCATTCTAACAGCTAGATCTGCGCAACAGCCAACACAAGAAAAACAAAAGCAAACTCGAAGGTGCCTAAAAAAATGCAAATTGAACTGTTCCTCAAAATGTATCAGAACCTTGGGGTTAGCTCAAGTGGTGAGAGAGGATGGGGAAAAGGATAAGAATTATGATAGGTCAAGGGTTTGATCCCTTCCAATGTAACAATATATACATATACATATACATATACATATACATATATATATATATATATATGTGTGTGTGTATGTGTGGGTGTGGGTGTGTGCGGGCAAAATAGCTCAAAAATGGAAGGGAATGAAAATTCATGGGCCCCAGCTATTTCATCAACTGTTTTATTTTTAACGGAAAAAAAATAAAAAATAATAATAAAGTAACAGATTATGGTTCAGTTACCATCCCATTTATTGAAAAGTAACAGATTATGGCAGAGAGAATATTACCTTCTCATTTCCCTTGATTATGAAGTATCCTCCAGGGTCGAGGGGGCACTCACCTACAGACATGCACATTCATTATAGAGCAGAACAAAGCATGGAGATGAAAAATGGGGGCAAGAAACAAAGTGAGTTTTATTTTGCTCTGCACAAACCAAGTTTGGCAAGTTCAGATTCGGTTTTCCCATACAGGGTGCAGGAGCAACTCCGTAGCATAATAGGCATCCTTCCGATTACGACACCTTTCTGCCAAAAATAAATAAAAATTTCATATTATATCCAAATACATGTTTTCAAATAAATCTGTTTAGAAACAATTTCTAAATACCTTCTCCACTCTAGTCTTTTGATCATGACTTCCTTGAATGTACTCTACATCGACTTTTATTGGAGCAGAATACCTATAATTTACAGAAATCAAATTCAATATGGTTCAGTTATGTGCATGGAAGTGAAAAATAGGCATGAGATTTGTATTTCAGACAATAATTGTGTAAATTGCAAACAGAAGAGAAAAAGGTTTACCACAATGTACCGATAAAATACTATATACTCAAACAATGCAAGTTTTAAAGGATACGACCCATACTGACCAAGAGGAATATTCCCATAATGTTGTTCAATTTCAAAAGCTTACACCATGCCAGCTTTTTGTTTTAAACTCGTACCCATCCCAAATGACATCATCTGGCTTGTGTTTTTTTTAAAAATAAACAACCAGACAAATAAGGAGCTGAGGCCCCTTTCTCATCCAATAATCAGGTGGAATTCTTTGGAAAAAAATGAAATCAAAAAACAAAAACCAAGTTATCTGATTAGCCATTTTGCAAGGATATTTTGGCATTCAGGGGGAGATTTCAATAGGACTCCAATACCATATTAAACTGTTAATATCCTTATTATGATTGAATGAAAATTATTACCCACTGACTAATTAATATGCATGAATGACACTGAATACTGTTCAAGACCATGGAGTGCAGTCTACAAACAATAATGCCCTACGCATAGCAAACAAAGAAAGACTTCATCAATAATAGAGGCCCAGAGAAGCGCAGCCAACAAATGCAAAAAGTTCATAATTTCTATTTTTTAAAGTAAAAATAAATAAATTTATCATTAAAAAAAACACACAAACATGGGACAGGGAGTGCACTGCAACAATCCTAAATCATCTGTGCATATACATCTATCTGAAAAAAAAGTTCAGCTGTAAATATAGCAGCCCAACCAACAATTATGGCCAAGAACACACAGATGATAAATAGCTGTGGAAAACCATCACATAAGGTCATGAGCTTCAAAGTTCAACGCAGAAAAAAAAAAAAAAAAAAAAACTTTAAAAGTTGCAAGGACCATGTCCTTCGCTAATTTTTAAAAAGAAAACGAAAAAACAACCATTGTCACTAGAAAGAAAAAAATTTCAAGAACAATTACAGCTTGAGAAATTGTCAGACACAAAAATCAATTTTCGACTAATCTGAAATTAAAGAAAGAGGGATAAGAAATCACCGCAAACAAGATAAATTTTCATTGAAAAAAATTCTTTAAGAATAAAGTTCACAAAAAAAACCTACAAATTTGGAACTCCATATAGAGAATCATAACACACCTAATATTTCACGGTATAATTTTTGTTTAAGCCAACAATAAATTTCAAGACCTCAGTACAGTTTAGTCTCTTTTCTATTTCATTATACATTTTAAGTAATATTCAGGATGTGACACAGCTACACAAGGTATACATGATGCAAAACCAAGGCTCCGTTTGGATGAAGATACTTGAAAGACAGGATTTGGACAAGAAAGCAAAATGTGCTGTAATAAAAATAATAATAATAATAATAACTATAAAACATAAGATTGAATGTATTTGAAATAACTAGATGTAATACATTTGAAATGATTACATGCAAGTAGTCATTTGGAATCCATATTCTTATTCAAATCTTAGCATAGATAGATTGCACTAGTCTAAACAAACAAATTATAATGTCATCTCAATCCCTAGATTTAAAATCACTTCATCCAAATGGAACCCAAAGGAGAATAAAAACAGGGAAACGAATAAGTAACTTTTATTAAATTGGACAAACCAAAAGTACAAAATCACAAATCGCACCACTGTGATTAATAAAGTGCAATCCAGTACAAATTAAATGAGAAGTCTATCTTACGTCATATCAGATAAGCGGCATGTATGAGGAGCAATCTTTTCAGTGACACCATCCATTGTAAGCGAGGGCTCACCAATAGAAATATCTTTAAACCTGCACCAAAGGAAAAGTGGATATTAAACTGCCTGAAATGTTCTTCACAAAAAGGACAAGTATATATTAAACTGCCTGAAACGTTCAAACCCTTTAAACAGCCTTTATATAGGGTAATATTCACTTTCCAGATTTCTGATACAATTTAACAGAAATTAAAACAAGCCTGGAAAGACATGTCTCTGGGTTTTAGCTCTTTCTTGCCTTTCTCTGGTTACTGGTGGGGAATGGGAACAGATTTGGTTTTAGGAGACTTCACAGATAGGGAAATTTCCCGTGCACATCTTTCCCGTGACTTTATAGACTTCCAACTCTAATAGTGCTCCAATTGCCAATAAGTCTGGGGATTCCTCATTCCCAATAAGTTAGAATGTTAGTTTTTTACGAAATTGAATGATTTGGTGTTTCAGTAGCTTTTCTTCTATTTTAGAATGTTCCTTTACAAGTCAATAGACTGAATAGAAGATCTTGGAAACAGCTTACATACATTTTAATTGTTTCATTTGTATGTATTTTCCTGATGAAATTTCATCACTGAAGTTCAAGCAATGACATTAGAGATAAGG